GGGACGCGGTGGAGGGAGCGCCGCGCGGCTCCCTGCCTTCTCCCTCCTTCCCCAGCAGCCTGAGGGGGCGAACCGCCGTAGAAAGCCCGCGCGGGGTGGGGGCCCAGGGGCTGACCTGCGACCCGGGGGACCTGCCATTCTCCGCCTGCCATTCTCCTGCCATTCTCTCGCAGGGCTGCTGAGAATGAGAAGGGAAGAGAAGCGGTAAGGACTCACTTTGAGCCCCTGGAAGAACTCCGACCAACTCAAAGAATCACAGTAATATATAGGTGAGGCTGCAGCAGGTCCTGAGCCAGTGAACAGCTGCCTGATTGTGGCCCTTGCTGGACCCCCCTTTTCCAGATAGCAGCTGGTATATATTTTCCTGTATTAATGGCACGTAGAACTGCTGCTCACCCGCCCTCTGGCCAGGATGGACCCGGAGCCAATGGCTACCTGGCCCTCCTCTATTTACATTCCTGTTTTCCTGCCTTCCTTTACGCCTTCTGGGCTGGAGGTAGCCCTTCCTTTCCTGTCCCCCAACCAACCTGCCCCTTGGCAGGAGGTGTCTGCAGGGGGTGGGCAAAATACCCTCAGGATGGTGGCCTCGATCATGCAATTCTGTTTTGATGTGCCACAGGTGGAGCTCTGATGGCGCTGTCGTGGCCACCCCCTTGACTTTTGGACCGGGCCTTCCGGACCCCCCGGATCTTGGGCAATACTTGGAACGGCACCCATTCAGAAGCTCACCCAGGAGAGGCTCAGAGGCGTCTTAGGCTGCTCCATCTCTGGACTCCAAAGGCCTGGAAGGATCTCGTGGTCCAGCTCCTCGCTCAGCGCTGTAAACAACCCTCCTCCAAGAGAGGAGGCCCCTTCCCCACCAGACCAGCGGCTCGCCATCTCCTGAAGCAGCCGCTTCTCACGTTCAGCCAATGTGAGTTCTGCATCGGTTACAGTTAGCCCTGCTTTGATCCCTCCTGCTTGCTGAGGGCTAGCAGGGTGAAGGCGGGTCCATCACCCTCCATATCCATGATCACCTCCGCTGCCTTCCTGCACATCTGTTCCGATTCATCTGCAGGACGGCGCCCAGCACGAGACAGTGCCGGTTTTCAGATTAGTGAAGCAAAAGTGGGCGTCCGTCCTCTGACCGGGAGAGAGGGTTCTATTAATGTAGAATAAAATCACACTGTCTTCTTTGCAGCTGGATTGCGCTACTGACCGGCTGGTGGCTGCCTAGATCAAGATGCCCTCCAGACAAACACCACCACAATCGTCTGCCCTGCAACAGCTCTTCCTCGGTGCTTCCTCTCCCCCCTCCCACCTGCAGCTGAAAAGAACTTTCTAAGGGGCAGAATTCATTCACTGCAGCCACGAAGCCGGGCAGCCAAGTCCGATGACCTTTGGCGCCTCTCCGCCATGCATGGGCCGAGGGGGGGCTGGAAACGCGCAGCAAATGGAGTGTCTTCCTCTCTGCAAAGGCTCCACCTAAAAATCTGCTCAGCCCGGGAGTTTCCCTGGCCCGCTCAACTGCTGTTCAAGCCTCTGGAAGAAAACCAGCTGCTCTGATGGATGAATGGGTGCTGGGAGCCAGTGGCTCTCCTTCAGAGGATCCTGCAGTGTGAGGGATTCAGCGTGGTCACTCGCAGCTTCTGAAAGGCGCAACTGACGCAGCCTCCTTTACGCTATTTCTGGCTTTGGCTGGGAAAGCCCCCCACCCCAGTAGCTGGATTCACACAAACCTTCCCTTCATTTCTCAGGTCATCCAAAGTTGGAGATTCACATAATTCACCAAACCGTAGATTAACGAAGATCAAACGTAATCAAGCTTAAGCTGTGTGCGTGCAGCTGCTAGGTCTTTCAAGTGACTTGATTAGATGAACCAAGCCATAAGCTACCTCCAGCCCCCCCTCCTTTTTTATAACTGCAGACAGAGTCATTGAAGGTGAGCACAGGCCTCTCCCACATCGTGAAACACAAAACCCCAAATCTTGGTAGCATAAACAACAGAAATGGCAGAGTTTCAAAAACACAGAAACGGTGCCCAACCTCCAAAGTTTGAGCCACTCCAAATATGATGAAGTGAGTGGCATAACCATTGTGTAAAGCAAATACGCATCGTGGCCCCAGCCAGAGGCATGGCACAGCCTACCCACTGTGCCTGCCCTGTGTGCCTCACCCCTCCAGAAAATAGCACCCCCCCCAGTCACTCAGTGAGCAGGAGATCTCCCAACCTCTCTCAAGACCGCAAACCTCCAATTGCCACCAAGTCACATTCCGGATTCTCAGACCATGTGGAAAGAGGGTGGTCAAGAGCGTGCCCCGTTACGGGTGCCAACCGCCACCCAGTGGGCTGGAGTGGGACTCTGGCCAGAGAAGTGACAGCCTCAATGCCAGCCACGATTAAGTGCGTTCAGCCCGCTGCCTTAGCTCCCCCCATCCCTGGCATGCGTTCCTCACCATCCAGCGAGAGCCAGTCGTGTTGAGAAGAAGGAAGCGTTGGCAATGCCCGTGCTTTATACTCGAAGACCACTGAATTGGAGATAATCTGGTTGTTGAAAGCCACCTGCAGCGTCACAAGGCCCGTGTCGTGAGCTGAAACACAAGGGGAACATGAGATCCTTCCCTCTCCTTCTCTCGGTTTAGCAACGGGAACGGTGCAGGATCTTCCCCGCAACAACACAATTTGTGACCTGCAACAAGCTGGGTCGTGTCCTTCGCCTTACCCATCCCTAAGTAAGGACAGTTCCTCGGTGTGCCCTTCAGATGAAACAAATGGCAAGCAAAACTGAAACGGAACGCGATAAAATGGAGTGAACTCCGACAACTCAAAATGCAACAGACTGATTATTAAACAAGGTCTGATTAGAAAACTCCTGCTTGAGGAAGCAGGCAGTGGCTGGGGGAAGACTTCCTCTAGATCAGGGTTTCTCAACCTTGGCAACTTTACTTTGTGGGGACTTCAACTCCCAGAATTCCCCAGCCAGCATTAGCATTAGCTGGCTGGGGAATTCTGGGAGTTGGTCCACACATCTTAAAATTGCCAAGGTTGAGAAACCCTGATCTAATTCACTGCCACCCCACTTGCATTTAGTAGAACAGCTGGATCAAAAAGAAAATATCTTTTGGATGCGATTACTGTTCCCCATAAAAATCACCGGGAGCTGCATGTGTGGAAGGGGCAACACGTCCCCCCCCCTTCACATGCTATACTTTCTTTTAACCACGGTTTGTTGACCAAACCCTAAACCCTAGTTTATACATCACACTAAGCCATCAATCATGGTTTACAAGATCCAGTGGCGGATTTCCATATCCCACTAAGTCAAAAACAAAGAATAACCGGCTAACTTGGTGTGGTGCGTGAACCCAGCTTCCTCTTTCTTGCAGAAACGCTGCTTGGATTTATACAACAAGTCTGTTAAAGGCCTGGCACTGGCAGAATGTGCTAAGCTGGTTACAATTCTTTTCATGCATTTATGGTTTAGCATATTGTGCAACACCCCCATGCATTCATTCAGGAACCAAGATAATCATGGTGTGTAAACACAGCCGCACAGCAGTTGTCTCTGGCAGAATGGCAGGGAGGTGGGGGTCAAAGGGATTTGGTTACCCCATACATTGGCAGTCTTGAGTAGGTTGATGGGCTTTAACCCATGTGGGGAAAGGGGGGGTGGGCAAAGGCGGGCACGGGGGTGAGGAATTGGGCAACTGGGCAATCTGCCAATCTCTGAGCACGCCCTGCAGCTGCAGATTGCATGCATGTGCTGCTGGGCCCATGTGGGCTGGAAAGATAACCCCCTGCCCCCAAATGCTCTGCACAATGGTGCAACTGCTGCATTGTGTGCTCAGAAGGGGATGCCGGCAAATATCTCCACTGGCTCATTTTGGAAGTTTCCCAAGACCTTTAAAAGCAGCGCTTCAGAACAATATCATGTAGAAGGCAGGAATCGCCACCAACTGGGCAGGAAGGGGCAGAGTAGTTAATACTCAGCTGAAGCTGACTCCCCAACAATAAACTTACTGTTTACTAAGGAGATGCGTTCCCCGTCCAAACAGGTGGGAATGAGTTCAGCTAGGAAAGAGCAGGACCAAGTTCCAGATTGTTAGGCCTCACCCAGCCCACTGCTGCCCTTTTGGGGCACTGATTCAGAACATTAACTATCTTCCTAGAACTATTTTCACTAGTTTCTTGGGCCTCCACACACTTATTACTTCATGCTCCTGAACAGCCTCTGATCAGACCCCAGGAGCTACAGTCCAGGGTGTTGAGCAGAAGTCCTTCCACGTAACCTGGGGTTGATCCTCCATGAAGGCCATGACCTGAGTGGGGGATCCAGACAAATGCCATGGCTGATAGCATCCAGAGCTGCCAAGGGCTCCAGCAAAACCAGAAGGGAAGGATTCCCTAGCCTGCTCTTGGAATATAATATCTAGCAGGGCAGGGCCTCCAGATATTTTAGGTCACAACTTCCACTGCCACTGACTTCTCCCATGCTGGATGAGGTTGGTGGGACCTCTTGCCTTAATCAACCATGGAGCGCACCTTGAACTCAGGAGCAGGTCCACCTACATCTTGGAGACCATCTGTCAGTACTCTTCTGGAGCCCCGCAAACAGCGCCAAGGAGGGCTCCTTCTCCACAATTTGTTCCCGGTGCTAGCAGGGCGCTGTCTCTGAGTACAGAGTCCATCTAGCCATCCACACACCCCTGAATCTCGGCCATCTGTTTTCGATCCACCTGCTTTTGTTGGGAGAACTTTGCTTGGCCACCACTTCTTTTTCCTCCAGAGGATCCCTCTGCTCTAGAAGGGCAGTGCACCCTGTGTCTAAGAGGCAGGTTGCAGGGCATAAAGAAGCAAGGAGCGCTATTTGGGGGGCAATGTACCCAGGAAATAAGTCGTGGCTGTGGGAATCGATATCCTGCTGGTGGGTTTCAGAGGGCATCTGGGAGCTCCTTCTGTTGGAAAGAGTTCTTCAAATGGTCCAAGGACAATTCAGACATAACAACTTGAACACAAGTGACTTTGCCAGGGCTTTGAGCCTCTTCACCCCCTGCCCCCACAACCACTGGCTTGTCCTGAGACCCTCACCTGGGCAGTAACAGCGCAGCACCCCTGGCTGGATCAACGAGGCTGGCACCGAGATTTGGTCAAACAGGCAGCTGTAGTTATTGCTGGCCTCCTGCCAGGGTCCCGTGATCAAGACCTTCACGCCCCCCTGCAGAGGGAGCAAAAGAGATGGGGTCAGCAGCCGGGGGGACCCTCTCCACGTCCTGCCCTGCAAGGCCACTGGCACTGACTGCCCGGACGAGCAGCCTGGGAGAGGTTGTGCTTCAGAAGGACTTCCGGGACTGGGGGCAGCAGTGAGCAAGGCTCTGTGGCAATACAAGGGGGTGGGAGTGGAGAAAAGCAGGCCCTTGTTATCCTAGACCAGTGTTTTTCAAACCTGGCAACTTAAAGATGTGTGGACTTCAATCCCCAGAATTCCCCAGCCAGCATGTGTGGACTACAACTCCCAGAATTCCCCAGCCAGCACATTGTCCACAGATCTTAAAGTTACCAAGGTTGAGAAAACTGACCCAGAGCAAGGCAGGGATTTGCTGAACTACAGCTCCCAGCATCCTTCACCAGTAGCCTGCTGGCTGGGGCTGCTGGGAATTGCACCTCTGTTCTACCCCACCCCCACCCCCACCCCCAGTGCTAAATATTTCTACTGTTATGGAAAATGATGCCATCCCTGCACTATTTTCCTGCAGCACTTTAGGCAATGCCAAAGCCCACTGTCAAAAGGCTGAACTAGTTGGATGGAGTAGCCTGGGTAGGGTCAAAAAAGTAAAAAAGGCCACCATGACAGTGCAATTGAAGCTCTGCTTGTTTTTTACGTGCCCTGATCTGTCCTGCCCTGCCTTCCATTTGTTCTGTGCAATAGACATCTAGCTCTGAGCCTCAGTTTCCCCTTCTCCCCCCAAAATGACTCCACTCCAAAGGCAACATGGTACTTCGGAGTGCAGGCGTTGCTCCTGCAGGCCCAGAAACCCTGTCTCTCCTTCCCAGGATTATGTGGCAACTACAGAGGGCAACTGTATGCTCCTGGGAAGATGCAGCTGCTTTCAAGAGTGGGGGACGTTGCTCTGTGATTCTCTCTGTGACCTCTGCAGCTTTGAAGCTGATCCTGTGCACAGCCCTCAAAGGGATTCCTGTTGCACATAAATTCACCCAGCAAAATTTAAGCCAATTGCCCCATGCTGGTCACCACAAACAAAATTATTGCTTCCACAAAGAATGAAATAAGCTTTGGAAAGTCAAATAGGAGCTGGCAGGGAACCTTCCTGGTTTTGTTACAATGACAGGGCATGGTGGGGTGGCTCCTTGATCCCTTTGTTCACCCAGGTGCGAGAGAACCACGTAAGCCCCCCCCCAACTCCTCGTGAAGTGCACGCAGCCTCTGAGCAAGTCTTGAAAGCATCCTGACGGAACTGCTTGCTCTCTGCTGCCCTCTGCTGGCGGAGAGGTGGGAAGATGCTTCTGGCAGCAATTGCACAGATTCTGATTAATACAGATAGTCCTCATTCAGCGACCCATCGTTCTGCGACTGTCTGAAGTTCCAATGGCACTGAACGAGGGGGACTTACAACCGGTCCTCATAGTTGTGACCGTCACAGTGTCCCCGTGTCACATGATCACGATTTGGGCACTTGGTGACCACCGCGCAATTACGATGGTCTCAGTGTCCCATGTCCCGTGATCGCCATTTGCGACCTTCACAGCTGGCTTCCAACGAGTATAGTCAATGGGGAAGCCGGCAGGAGATTGCAAATGGCGATCACGTGATTGTGGGATGCTGTGACCATGTGGGATTCACCTAACAACAGCAACCGGAACCGCTGCAACTGTTGTAAGTCAGTACGGTCACATGATGTCGCGCTTTACAACTGCATCGCATAGTGATGGTGTTGACGGTCCCAATTACCGTCGTTAACTGAGAACTATCTTTACGGGGTTTCAGCACTGCCGCCCCTAAGAAGTTTTTATTCTGTAGGTCAAAACGCATTCATTGAGTTCATACATCCCACTAGATTAGGCTGACACAGTGTGGGTTGTTTGATTTATTGAGACATAATATGAGCACAGCTATGGTGTCCTGGTAATCTGGATTTAGGGTGTTATGTGAATCCAGTTGTGGCTTAAGGGGTTACACAGAGGCAGGGGAGAAGACTGGGGAGGAATCAGAAGCATAAGAAGAACAGCGGAGTCTTTGGCCCGCTAACTGTTCATGCTTTGGCAGAGTCAACAAAGTCAGGATGGCTGCTGCGATGATGCCATCAAAGCTCTGCCTGTGTTTTTTACACAGATAGTCCCCAGTTTAAGAACAAGTTCAGTTCCCAAGGTCTGTCCTTAAGTCGAAAATGAGGCAGTGCTTCAATTGCCCCGTCACAACGGCTATCTTGACTTTTGTGACCAACTCCCATGGACACCCCTGCAGCCAAAGCATGAACGCCATCAACAAATTTGGCGCACATTATTACTATTACTATTACTATTACTATTACTATTACTATTACTACTACTACTACTACTATTATTATTATTATTATTATTATTATTATTATTATTATATTTTTCAACCGCCCATCTCCCCTCAATGGGGGAACTCTGGGCGATTCACAACAAACATTAAAAACATAAAATATATAAACACATAAAACCTTAATTAAAAACATCCCAACCAGGGTACGCTTAGGGCCCATCCCAGACAACCAGGTTGTGCTTTCCTCCAGCTGTGAGGCGGCACCAACCAGCACAGCATCGATGTGCTCAGGACAGCCTCATTAACAAGGAGAGGGGCTGCAGTTGTACAAACGCTTGACTGGGGGGGGGTTCCTGCCAGCTGGAAGACCCTCCACTGCTCTCTTTCCCCAACATGAGGTTACTGAGAGGCTCTTGTCTGCAGGGGACTTGGTGGGATGGGGCAGCTGCCTGCCTCCCCTCCCACCTGCTGAGCAACGTGCTTAATGGGGCCAGCAGGAAGATGTTGCTGCCAATTGCTGAGGTGGCAAGATACAGTCTGGGAGAACCTAATGCAAACCCACTGACTGTGCCCTGGGGGAGAGGGCTGGTAGGGCTTCATTACATCAGCAGCCGCAGCCAGAGTGGGAGGCCCCAGCTGCACGTTTTGTAACAGGGAGATGTGTTTTATGACCACTCTACGCCTGCCATCTTGTTTCCTCGAAGGACTGATGGAGTAGGCATTGTCAATCCCAATGTTGGTATTGACAGGACGCGGCACGCTGCTGGAGCGGTATTTAATCCCAAGGAACTCTGGGTGGTTGGTTGGAAAAAGATCTTACCCTTCCCTGCCCTGCTGCTGACCGGGTTTTGAGGTTCTTGCAACAGGACCGTTTCAGAGAGGACTACAGTGCGTGTCATTGGATCAAAACCCTCCCACACAATCCTGATCTCCCAGTTCTATCTGTGGTTCAGGCCTATAGCAAAAGAACCCTAGAGCTGACCTCGGGGTACGACCACTCGGGGGAGTAATCGGTCACCATGAAGAGGCGCCCGCTCTGCTGGAGCATGCCAAGGGTGCCCTGGGCTGCTGCCGCCGCTGCCGAAACCACCTCGGTGACGTGCATGTAGGCCATGGGGCTGGCCCCGTTCTCCGTGCTGCTGAGGTTCAGGTTCGCTTGCTGTGGGCTGCAACAAGGGATGCACATCTCTGCCTGGCTGTAGGCCGCCCGGCTGCTCTCCTCCGTCTGGGACAGCCCGGTATTCTCCCCAGAGACCAGCTGGTGCCCGTAGAGGGCATTGCTCCCACCTTCCACTGAAATGAAATCATTGATCAAGTCAGAAAATTGGTTGCTAAAGGAGATATCAAAGTGGTCCAAACTGAGCTCCATGTTGGAGGAGTTGTTCAAACTCGGGTGGGCCACAGGATAGAGGCCTTGCACCATGTTCCCTTGGAGGACAGGGAGGCCGCCGCCGTTCCTCAAGCCGCCGTTGGCCTCGGGCTGCATGTAGTGCTCCGCCCCACAGGACTGGAGCTCCCCTGATTTCAGCAGATTCTCGTTCCCTTCCGCCTGCGGCGAGGTCTCCATCGGGACTTCCCCTTCAGCTGCTATGGACGGAAAGTTGGCCTGGAACTGCATGAGCTGAAGGGAAGAGGTGGACTCAATCCGGGCCTCCACAGTGCCGTTGCAGTTGGAGGTGTTCTGCGAGGAGGCCTCGGTCTTGACGTTGGGGAGTCCCAGGGGACTGACAAAAGAGCTGCTTGCATCATTCAGGCTGCTGTGGGCGTTTTGCTCCAGGGGGAGTGCTTTACTGCTGTCTTGCAGGAAGAAGCTGGGGGACGGGGTTTGGTGGACGTGCGGACTCTGCACCGCTTGGTTAAAACCCGAAGAGTAATCCTTGTTGGAGTCAATTGCGCTAAAATCCATTTGTTCCAAGGTGGTGCTGGGGCTGAGTCCTCCCCCCGAGGGAAGCAGGCTGGAAGCCGTGGTAAGGGTAAGCGAGTTGGACGACGACGACGAGGAGAAAGCTTCTTTGGACATTTGCTGTTCAAAGGACGTGTCTTCTGTTTTGATCTCCTTGGTCAGGGCTGTGCTGAAGTTGAACCCCCGTTCCGTTGTGGGCGATTGCCGGATATTGGTGCTGAGACCTTCCCCCTTGGGGCCTCCTCCTCCGTACGTCTGCCCTTGCTTGGGGTTGTTAAGGAAGCAGTCCGGGTCAAAATTCATGGTGGTTTCTGGAATCTTCCTGTTGGTTTCAAGAGTCGTGGAGAGCACGAGCTCTTCGGAGACGCTGGCGGGCAACATGGAGAGGCCATCGGAGCTGCTGGCAGTGGGGAAGGCGAACTTGTGGCCATCAGAACTCACTGCCAGTACCAGCCCTTGGGTGGCTGCATCTGAGGAGAGAAGGTGCTGATTCGGCCCAGCAGTGGGGGACATCGTGTAGACAGCCTCGCTGCTAATGTCAGACATGAAAACAGTGGCATTTTGGGACAAGTTGCCCATCACCGAAGCAACCGCCATGCTGGAGACCCCAGTGACCGCTGGACTGTCTGCAACGTCGGGGTCGCTGTTCAACCCGCTACTGATGGAGACAGGAGAATTCTGGGTAGTATCAGGAACTTCTACTTGGTTAGTAGAGGAGACTTCGGTGCTGTTCTGATGCAGCAGTACCGGTTTGGCCACTTTCCCGTTCCTCTTCTCTCGGCTGCAGGATTTGCTGTGGCTGTGCTCATTCTTGCCTTCCGAGACGTCATTGTTCTGCACCTCAGAGTGGGCGCTGTAGCCCCCTGACCGCGGCTCGACTTTGGGGGAGATGATGCGGTGTTTGGCACTGTTGCATTTATGATGCACGCTGCTCCCGGCCCCTGCGCCAAGAGGAAAGCAAAGAGAGCTGTGAACGGCCGCGTCCGATGGTTGGCCGTTATGTTAACTTACCTGACTGGCAATTGTGAGGCTGGTTTTGCAGGACGCACTGACGCGCTTCCTGGATTTATGCATCTCCTGGGCTTGCACAAGACACTGAATGAGAAACTACCCAGACACGCGAAGCTGCACACCTATACAACCAAGCTTAGCCAGCTGGGCACATGTAGCCACAGGTCTTTTCGGAGATGGTTAAACATGTTACGCCTAAGCCAGTCCTGGTTTCCCTCCGGCTGTGCATTTCCCAAACAGCTTCACTTTCCACACACCCCATCTGAGGAACGGCCCACAGCTGGGAGTTTGGGGGCTTTTAAGTGCATTCTTCAGTTGTGTACGTGGGACTGGGCATGCCCCTTGGCTGACAAGGCCCTGATCCCATGGCAACAAAGAGTTGATTAATTCTACCTCAGGCTGCTTGGGGCCACAGAAATATCCCCAGCTCAGCCATTTCATCTGAACAGCTCATTGGGGAAGGTGACACAAAGTCCCGGAGAGGCTCCATGAGAACAGGGCACTCTAGGCACTCTGTCTCTTTTGCCATTCTACTCTCAGCCACACGGAGGGGAGTGAAAAAGGGGCAAAATGGGGCATGGGAGGCCACCTGACTTTGTCCCCCCATCATGT